AGATTTAATTTTGGGAGTTGGATGTCAGGATATCTGCATACAACAACCAAAAGGGTTTATAGCAAATGGGCATAAACACATGGTATGCAAGTTGTGAAAGTCTACTTCATGGACTTAAGCAAGCATCCAGGTCTTGGAACATCAGTCTTTAATCAGGTTATCAAAATTTTGATTTTGAGAGAACCTTGATGAATGATGTGTATTTGTATGTGAAGAATCCAATGGAAGACAGTTTTTCCTGGTACTTTATGTAGATGATATGCTCCTTATTGAAAACAATGTGGAGGTAATATCAAGCATAAAAGTTGGCTAAGTTAGGATTTTGGTATGAAAGTACTGGGGAAGCCAATTATATTCTCTGTATAAAACTATTATGAGACCGGAAGAATAAGTTGTTGGCATCACCTCAGACTACTTACATTGACAAAACTCTTGCCAAAATTTAACATGAGAATTCTACGAGAAGAATTATAATTCTCAAATGTAGAATTCATCCCCCTAAGGAGTAACAAAAGACTCCTTAGAAGGAAGAATGCATGAGCAGGATATATTATGCTTTGGCAAAGGTAGTCTCATGCATATCGTGTTGGGCGTTAAACCATACATCTGTCACGCAGTGGGAGTAGTGAGATGGTACCATTCTGGATATAGAGGAACACTAAGATTATTGTTAAGCATGTACTCAAGTATCTTTGGAGAACGAGAGATTATATGCTGGTATATTCTAGTGAGAGTCTTGAAAAGCTGAGTTTTCAAAAATTCAGTTATTTCAAGTGGATATTGACTCAAGAAAATCAACCTCGAGCTATGAGTTTTACTCAACTAGGACAAGAATAGAGGTGGATCTTGTAGACCCAGTTACTAAGAGTTTGCCTGAACTTGTGTTCAAGAGGCATGTTACTTCTTTGGATCTTAGGAGGATCCCAGACTTGCATTAAGCGAGTGGGAGTTATTGGTTTCATTGTGCTCTTGGAGTAAGACAATGAAACAATGATATCATTTTCTGAATTTCATAAATAAGGTTTTATTTATTTATTTTGCACACCATTTACAAACATCAAGGTCTGGATCAAATTATGGAGTATAAGATCATATGGATACGTTCATGGAGGACATGATCATAAGTTCTCACAATTGATGAATAGATTCACAGCTGTTATATAAAGTTGGGCACTTTATTTAGGCTGCAATATTTTATGAAATGATTTTGTCCGAATCATTGTAAAATATTGGTGTGAATTAACATTCACATTGAAAGGATCAAGGAGAGATTTGATTAAGGTTGTTTTTTCTGTCATAAAGTATTAAATCTCTAGTTAACTATAGCTATGTAATTGCTCTTAATCCTGAGTTTATTATAAATAGGTAATCAAATAGTTTTCATTCTTTGATTTAGCAAAGGGTGAGGTTGGATCTATTGACGGCCAATAACTTGGTATTTTGGGAGTGAGATTATTTGATTATCGGTATTTATGAGATAAACAACATCGAATTTGTAGGATATGTCCCCTTGATATGTTTCAGTACTTGGATATAAAAGACACTGACCAGTGTATGTAATCCATTAGAGAAACTACCATAGTCAAGGGAATAAATAATTGATTGAGTTACAGAAAACTTGTCAATCAATTATAGACATTCTACGAAGGGGCGATGCATATTCATGTTATAAGTGTTGTTAATCTTGGAGTTCAAGTTCAGGCTTTTAGTGGAGTAGCACCGAATTAGATAATCATTCATTTATTATCAAGAGCCTTGATTAATAACAGATGGTAGATCCCAGAGTTAGCTTGAGACAAGGGATGGGGTGTTTTTTCAGATAGATGATGACTTATGGGTTACATGGTCTTGGTTTTCTCGACTTAAGTATGTATCCAAAGAGCAAGTGGGAGATTGTTGGGTTTGCTCTTTTACTAAAGCCCAAATGGGCTATTAGTATGAGAAAAGTTCAAGAAACCTAGAACCCAATGAGCTAGGGTTTCTTGGAACCCATATAAATAGTACCACTTAAGTCATCAGCCTGCTAGTGCTTTAGAGAGAAAAGAGGCAAGCTCAAATCTGATTGGTGCCCACACACTTCCCCTTCCTCCTCGAGAGATAGCTTGGAAGGTTTACCTCAACAGTTCGTGAGTTCGTGCTGTGACTCAAAGGGCTCAAGCGTGAGGAACAACATCATCTCACATCTGCGCCATTAAAGAGGTAATTGATAAAACCATGATGATCCTTATACATCCAAATCACAATTGTCTCATACGCTTCCGCAGATGCAATTGCTCCTACAGTAATGGTATCACATTTTCACAACTACCTCCTTTTATTATCATATTGTAAATGGAATCAACATAAACGACCTATTCCAATTCCGGATTCTCATTATCTTGATCTCCATGAGAGGCATCATATGCTATATGACTATATCACCATCACAATTTTGTTCTCTCCAGAGTCATCATAAATTGGACTATTAGAAAGAATTACAACCTATAAATTTGGACAATATGCATCAAAATGCCAAAATGATCGTTTATATTCTCGATCTACATATTATATTGTAAAAGGAGGATTGATTTATACGTGTTGCTTCTCGATTTCATCCCTGGTTCAAAATCCCTTCCCTCCATTCATATTCATATTCATATGCATCTTTCAATTTCATTGCTTCTTCCAATTGAATCCTCAATCTTGCTCACAAGTTATGTGTGTCTCTTTAATGTGATTGTTCTTCCGTCTTAAGGGTAATTTCACATATATTCTCTAAAATTGCAATTTTGTACGATTTTGTTCAACCATTGGATAAAGACAACTTATGCTTCCATATCAAATGATGACAAAACTAACAGAGAAAACAACTAAACAAAAAAATTTAATTGATAAAGAGAAACTCATGTTTATAATTTTAATTATTAAAATAATTAAATATTCAACTTCTTTACAAAGAGGGTCGTAAGTATCTTTTTTATATATTAATTACAAGGGTTTTATAAGAGTTATGTTGTAGGAAAAGTGATTGTGTAATGTTATAGAGATTCGTTTTGCGTGCCAGAGTTTTTTTTTTTTTAAAACATGCGGGCCCCACAAAATATTGTGTGTGTAAGAAATTTTTTGTAGTCATGTTAAATGATAGAATAGAAACCCTAATTACAAACCACTTTAAAATCTAAAATCCTAAAAGTGAGGAAAGTTCCTAAAGATAAAGATAAAGATATTTATTTCATAAAAATAATAAAAATTTCTGAAAAAAAAAATTGATTACAATAAATTAATCTATTATCCGATAATATTAAGTTCAAAATATGTTCCAAATTTTAGCTCTTTAAACATGACAAACTTACCACTTTTCAAGTTTTGTCCAACAAATTACAACTAAATTAACTATCTCGTTTAAATTAGATTTTGGTTAAAATCTGTTAGATTTTGAGTTGATACTTTTTTAAAGGACAATACTTGATGAGATAATGATTTGATTGAGGTGAGATTTATTGAATCAGCTCATTCCTTAATTGCATCAAATCATAATAAGTATTTACCAAACTATCATTAAGTTAGTTACCGGATATACCTAAAACTAGAACTTCCAATATATAAAAGAAAAGAATACAAATAGTAGAAGAAACAGCGGGTTTAAAAAACACCCGGCAGAATCTTATCCACTTTTGACTTATATTTCCACAAATGATATTGCTAACAAAATAGAAGAATTTTGTTAGCAAAAAAAAAATAAAATAAATAAAAATAGAAGAATTTCCAAGTTTACACGCATGATGATAAAGATCTTACTCTGATTCTTAAGCCATTTCTCATTTCGTTAATTTCAGTGCTACACATCCCAGCATCAGTGGAAAAAAAAAAGTTGATGTGAGACGATAACTGATAGATATATCATAAAATTAAAATCCAAAAAAACAGGCGAAAAAATATATAGCACATTTTTCAGAATTCACTTTTGAATATTTTTATTGTTACATAAAATTTTGTGCTGATTCAATTAATAAAAAATGAGTCTAGAATATTTAATTTGATAACACGAATACTGAAAAACATAACCACTAATATATTGAATTTTTAAACAATTATGTTTTGGAAAAAATGTTTGTCATTTTAAATGACATAAAATTATGTCATTTTAAGAGAGAGATAAACACAAAATAAAAAAAATTATTTAAAATTTATATTAAAAAAATCACCCACTTTCTCTCCTCACGATTTTCATTATTTATGTCTATCTCTTTCTTATAATGACATAACTTATGTCATTTAAAATAACAAACATCAAATCTTACTTTCTATTTAATGTTCTATTCGGCTATGCATCGATACGCTACTTTTTTAAAAAAGAACGTGTCGAATACGTGTCTCACACGTTCCGACACGCGGTCAACAATTTGAGACAAGCGGTCAATGCTCCGATACGTTTTTCTGACACACTGTCAACTTTTTCTGACACGCGATCAACGCTCCAACACATTTTTTTTTGTCTTAATTTTATTTTATTAACTGAATATAAAAAAATAATTTATAAATCAATTTTTTTCTGTTAAGAAATTTGACATGAAAAATTAATAAAGTACGAAAAATTATTTTTTATTTATATTTATGTTATGAAATTTGAATATTTGATTAGTAATATGACTTATTATGAACTGTTATATGTATTAAATATAAATTATATTATATTTATTAAAAATTTATTTAATATCAAAATGCATCCCAAGGTGTTAAAATATGATATTTTTAAAATATCAAAATACATGGTGTCGTGTCTCGTGTCGGTGTCGATCGATAATGAGTTCTACTGGTGTTTTGATAAACTCTTCCAAAATAAATAAAAAGTAAAATAACTGAAAATATTCACGGAAACCAACAAAGCTCAACACATATTAAGATTAGATAATGAAAAGCATTTTTATTAATAGGAACCGTTAAGAAATCCTGAGATTTACTCAAAAAAAATCCACAGGATAGTGAGGGAAACGAACGAAAGGTGGCGGCGGATCCAGGTACTGAAACAGAGAGAATCGAAGCAAAGCAAAAGATAACAAACAGTGTTCTGCATTGCATATCCTTCATAATTAGATCCAACGGTTAATATCAAACCCCAATCACCTAATCCAACGGTCAGAACGAAAACCGCGTTTACGAAGCCAACCCATGAATCCTTCACCCTCTTCTTAATACCCTTGCCGCGCCCTCTTCTCTTTCTCTCTCTTCCACAATCAAGATTCATCCTTTCTCTCTCTAGAAACCAAACTCTTCTCTTCTTCTTCTTCTTATTATTCTTTTCCGTTTTTTGGTGTCTCTCTCTTTCGTTATTTCGCCTTCGACATTCGAATCTGCGAATTATAGAAAACGAGAGAGTGAAAGAGAGAGAAAGAGATAGAGAGTGGTTATCTAATCGCCGTTAATTAATTAATTTAAGATGCAACAATCGAACGGTTCTGATTCATCTCAACAACAACAGCAACAGTCGGAGCTGAACCAACAACGGCAACGACAACCGCAGGCTCAGCCGGTGGCGCTGCCGCAGCAGTGGGTGCCGATGCAGTACCCTGCGGCGGCGGCGGCGATGGTAATGCCGCACCACATGTTACCGCCTCAACATTACGCGCCGCCGCATTACGTGCCTTACCAGTACCAGCAGCTGCCACACGTGCTTCACCAGCCCCAGCATGGATCCAGCGGTGAGAACAAGACCGTTTGGGTCGGCGATTTGCATCATTGGATGGACGAAAATTATCTCCATCGCTGTTTCGCTTCTACCGGCGAGGTCTTATTCGTTTTCTAATTCTTGTATATATTCATATCTTTTTATAGATAGAACGCGATAATGCACGCATAATACGAGTGCGTTTTTTCGCTTCGTTTTTTTTTTTTTTTAGTTGATTTCGAGAACGTAAAAGAGCTCTTGTTTTTCGCTGTTGGGGCGTGTTTACTGTGTACTTTCGGAAGCTTGAGTTTTTATATGTAAAGACGTGGTTTTTATAGTTGGTGCTTCGGGTTTGTGTTTTTATGTTACAGTGTGCTTTTGAGGTTGCATGCTTGATTTAGGTTATGCTTGTAAACTGTTAACTTCATCGACATCGGAATAAGAAAATTTATTCCTAAGTGCAGAGACTATTAGTCTATTACTCTCAACTGTTGAAATTTAGAATAATTTTTATTATGTAATATTTTAAATTCAATACAATTACTTGTATTAGTATGTTATCCATATAAGTTATTTTAGTGGAGTGTATAAAAATTTCTCCTTTTTAGGAAAGAATAATCAATGGACCATACTTATTTGGGAACTAAAGATTGAAGAATGGAAAGGGAGATGTGGATATCAAGTTACCAACTTTAACCTTTCCCTATTAATTTTATTTTATTTTTTTTAAAATTTTTAATTGTGATAGCTGAAGTTCAGGTGGGAAATGAAATTAATTTAACTTTTCAAGCCCAAATAGATTTAACATGTGGTCTAATGATGGTGGCACTGGGGTACCATTTGATCAATGTTAAAAGAAAATTGATGGGAACTCCTTGGGATTATGTGTTTGTGTGTCCATTTGTGAACTGTTTGGTGATATTAATTGTTGCAGACAAGCTCTACTTCTCTGCCACTCTAATTTGATGAAAATAAACCTGCATTTGAAAACTTAATTTGTTATGATAGAAGATGTGCCTGTGCTTCTCATATTGTCGAATACTACGAAGCTGCTGACTATTATATATTTTTGCAGATTACCTCCATCAAACTTATTCGCAATAAGCAGACAGGTTTATCAGAGGGTTATGGATTCGTGGAATTCTATTCACATGCCACAGCTGAGAAAGTTCTACAGAATTATGCTGGAATTGTGATGCCCAATACAGAGCAACCTTTCCGTCTGAACTGGGCAACATTTAGCACAGGAGACAAGTGTTCAGACAATGTTCCTGATCTTTCTATTTTTGTAGGAGATTTAGCTGCAGATGTTACGGATAGTGTGTTGCATGAAACATTTGCTAGTGTATATCCTTCCGTTAAAGCTGCAAAAGTTGTTTTTGATGCCAACACTGGCCGTTCAAAGGGCTATGGTTTCGTTAGGTTTGGAGATGATAATGAGAGATCCCAGGCTATGACTCAGATGAATGGTGTTTATTGTTCTAGCAGGCCTATGCGAATTGGTGCTGCAACACCAAGGAAATCATCTAGCCATCAACAAGGTATGCCAAATCAAATTAGTTGCGTCTGATAAAATTTTTTTACTCTTTTTGTTTGGGAGAGAAAAAAAAAGTAGTACATCATACATTCCATTCAAAGATAATGCTTCTAGCCACCTATTTTACCCTCATTTTCCATTTGTTCTGCTTCAGTTTGTTACTGACGAACTTTGAGAACTAGAGTTCTTGTATAAATAGTAATCCTTTTCTTACGGTTTAACTGACAATTTCAATTTAGAAGAAGGGATATTGCCATGTCTTTCTAGATGAATAAATTCCTTGAAATAACAATTATTATGTCTTTTCCACAGCAAAAAAGAAGAAGAAGACAGTTATTATGTCTTCAACTGAATGATAATGAACTAATGGAACTCCTAGAATTCATTTCGTCATTAATTTTCCCTTGTCTTGGTTTTAGATCCCTTGAATTTGTTTTTGATAATTCATCTCTCAATTTTATTTTTTATTTGTTTTTCTATTGCATGCTACCATAAGGGTTTGGAATAATTTTACCGGCTGTGTATTTATTTTGTCTGTTTCCTTGTTTAGGAGGCCAGTCAAATGGCACAACCAGCCAATCTGAAGCAGATTCTACTTCTACGAACACAACTGTGAGTTTTTCAGCTCTTATTACTAGGTTTTGCATTTTAGCGATTTATTACTACTTTCCAATAGCTAACCCATGATTCATTATAGATATTTGTTGGAGGACTCGATCCTAATGTTACAGATGAAGATCTTAGGCAGCCGTTCTCCCAGTATGGTGAGATAGTCTCTGTTAAGATACCTGTTGGAAAGGGGTGTGGTTTTGTCCAATTTGCAAACAGGTAAAAGTTCTGCCATTTCAAATCTTTACATATCTACAGATAATATGTTTTTTAATCTCTTCATTGATGTAATCACTACAATATCATTCTGAAAAACTTTCCAGAAATAATGCTGAAGAGGCATTGCAGAAGCTAAATGGTACAACGATTGGTAAGCAAACGGTTCGTCTTTCTTGGGGCCGCAATCCAGCAAATAAGCAGGCAATACCTCTCTCTCACTAATATAATCCCACTTTCTCATTGTCATTATATTGGGTCTATTAATATAGGGGAACAAATTTTGTTTGATGACCAATTATCCACCTAGGAATACCATACATTTGTTAGAAAAGCAAACTCTCCCACCGCTTCAAAAGCATCTATAAGACTTGGGTATACAGCCATGTGGCTTAATTTGCTGTCCTTGTATGAATGTGTCAAAACAAATGGAACCGGTTAGTAAGGAGTCATGTTACAGATGTCATGTAATAAGATTATGGTGTCGGTTAAACGGTGGATGAGAAGCAACATCTTTGGTGGCTTAAGCTTTATAAATAGCTTATGTATTATGTGTTTGTAATATTGATAAAGTAATAAAAAAAAAAAAAAAAAAAAACAAGTGTGTGCCTTAGAAAAAGAAAGTGCCGTAGCACTTGAGTGAGAAAAAAATTGTTAGAGAGTCTTGGTATTGTTGTAGAGTTTGCTTCTAATATAAGAGTATTATCCATTCTCAATTGTTCTGTGTCCTTTACTATTATATTTCCAACAAGTGGTATCAGAGCCACTGATTCGATCATGTGTTAAAGACGGCTGAGATGATTCAACTTCAGATTCCAAATTTGACAAAGTCAAATTATGGCGACTGGAGCAAACATATGAGGACCCTGTTAGGTTCACAGGATGTATAGGAGCTTGTTGAAACCGGATACACAGAGCCTGTAGATGCAGCAGCTGAAGCGGCTATGTCAGATACACAAAGAAGGACACTTAAAGAAACATGCAGGAAGGATAAAAAGGCTCTATTCTTGATTTTTCAAGGTGTTGATGAATTAACCTTTGAGAAAATTCAAATGCAAAGTCATCCAAAGAAGCATGAGAGATCTGGCAGAAATCATGTGAAGGAGCTGAGAAAGCCAAGAAGGTACGAGTCTAGTCTTTGAGAGCTGAGTTTGAAAACTTGAGAATGCAAAGCGGAGAACCAGTTACAGATTATGTGTCACAAGTGCAAAAGGTGGCCAAAGAGATGAAAAGAAATGGAGAAGCCTTAGATGAAGTTAGAATCATGGAAAAGATACTTCGACCATTATCAAGAAAGTTTGATTATCTCATTACTGCCATTGAAGAAGCTAAAGATTTGACAGTGATGTCTATTGATGAGCTTGTGGGTTCTCTTCAAGATCACGAGCAAAGAATGAATTTGAATGATGTTTTCAGTAATTTGGAGCAAGCTTTGCAAAGCAAGCTATCATTTGATGAAAATCAAGCTAGAGGCAGTTATGGACGCGACAAAGGAAATCGTGGTGGATATAAAGGTGGCTACAACACTCGAGGCATATTCAGTGCTCGAGGTGGTCGTGGAGGACACAGTGGACGTGGTCAAACAAGTAGAGGATTTGCAAATGATACTGATGCATATGAACGTGGCCAAGGAAATTATAATCGTGAGCGAGGTCCAGGTCGTGGCAGAAGCCGAGGATTCATGACTCGAGTAGGAGGTAGATTTCAACAAAGAGGTGACAAATGTCAGATACAATGTTATAATTCCAATAAATTTGGTCATCTCAGTTATGAGTTTAGAGACATTCCTACATTTGAAGAGAGGAGTAAGTTTACATCAAATGAAGAAAGAGTTGATGAATAAACTATTTTCTTCACTTATAAAGGTGAAGAAGATAGTAGTAGAAACGTGTGGTACCTCTACACTGGTGCAAGCAATCGTATGTGTGGAAAAAATGAGTTATTTACAGAGTTGGACGAGAACGTTCAAAGAGAAGTTACATTTGGAGATCAATCAAAGACTCCAGTTAAAGACAAAGTTAAGATTATGATATTTACAAAGAATGCTAATAAAAAATAGGTTTGAAGCACTAGGTAGATTAGTGGAGATGGAGTGATGAAGAAAAGAAAGTGGAAGTCCTATTCTTTAAAGATGATGATGACTCAAAAGAGCAGACAGTTCAAGAAGGAAATGACCAAACTCCTCTACTAAGTCCTATTCCAACAACCCCAGCATCTACACCATCAACATTAGGAAGCAGTAGTAGTAGCAATTTAAGGGGAGTACCAGCAAAGATGAGAAGCCTAAATGATGTTTATGATGCCACAAATGAGGTACAAACACCATTTGATTATTCATTATTTTGCTTAATGGCTGATGTGATCCACTGCACAAGATGAAAAATGGAAGAAAGCTATGGATGAAGAAATTGCAGCAATCAAAAGAAATGATACATGGAAGCTTACAACTTTGCCAAAAGATCACAAGCCAATTGGAGTAAAATGGGTGTACAAAACAAAGACTAATCAAGAAGGAAAAGTGGAGAAATACAAAGCAAGATTAGTGGCCAAAGGCTACAAACAAAAATATGGTGTTGACTATTAAGAGGTTTTTGCACCAGTGGATTGATACTATCAGGTTACTCACAACAGTTGCAGCACAACAGAAGTGAAAGATATACCAGATGGATGTGAAATCAGCTTTCCTCAACGGTTACCTGGAAGAAGTCTATATTGAACAACCATCATGTTATGTTAAAAAAGGAGAAGAAGATAAAGTTTATCAGTTGAAAAAGGCGTTATATGGATTGAAGCAAGTTCCAAGAGCTTGGAATACAAGAGTAGATGAGTACTTTCAGAAGAACGGATACGTGAAGAGACCGCATGAACATGCTCTATACACAAAGAATAATGCAAATGGAGATATAACGATTGTGTGCCTCTACGTGGATGATATGATCTTCACTGGAAACAATCTAGGTATGTTTAATGAGTTCAAGGAAGCTATGTCTAAAGAGTATGAAATGACAGATATTGGAGAAATGTCATATTTTCTTGGAATTGAGGTAAAACATGTGGGAGAAGAAATTTTTATGTCACAAAAGAAATAGGCAGAGGAGATTTTGAATAAGTTTATAATAAAAGAGTGCAAGCCAGTCTCCACACCAATAGAAGCAGGAATGAAGATGAAAGTTGATTCAGATAGAGAGCTAATAAATCCTACACAAGAGCTTGGTCGGAAGCTTAAGGTACTTGACTTTTACTCGACCGGATATTATATTTGCAATTGGCTCAGTTAGCAAATATATGGAGTAGCCAAAGCAGGATTACTTCAGTGCAGCAAAGAGAATTTAAAGATACATCAAAGGAATTGTTGATCATGGCTTATTCTATGCACATTCTGAAGAATCAAAGTTGATTGGCTATTCAAATAGTGATTATGGAGGAGATACAAATGATCGTAAAAGCAATTCTGGATATGCTTTTCACATTGGCTCGGCAATATTTTCATGGTCATCCAAGAAACAACAAATTGTTGCTCTTTCATCATGTGAAGCAGAATATATGGCCACAGCAACGTGCACGTGTCAAGCGATTTGGTTGAAGAATATTTTGAATGAATTGCATCAGGAACGAGAAGGTCCAATCACTTTATATGTGGACAATAAGTCAGCTATATCACTTGCAAAGAATCCAGTCTCCCATAGCCAAAGCAAACCCATTGACGCAAAGTATCATTGTATTCGGGAGCAAGTTAAAATAAAGTTATATGATAGTATACTGCAGAACTGAAGATCAATTTGCAGATATTTTTTCAAAGGCATTGAAGACAGATTTATTCAACAAATTCAAAGAAATGATTGGAATGCAAGGTCGAGTTTGAGGGATAGTGTTAGAAAAGCAAACTCTCCTACCGCTTCTAAAATCATCTATAAAACAAATGGAATCGGTTAGTAAGGAGTCATGTTAACTGATGTCATGTAATAAGATTATGGTGTCGGTTAAACGGTGGATGAGAAGCAACATCTTCGGTGGCTGAAACTTTATAAATAGTTTATGTATTATGTGTTTGTAATATGGATGAAGTAATAATAAAAAAATACAAGTGTCTTAGAACAAAAAAGTGTCGTAGCACTTGAGTGAGAAAAAAATGTTAGAGTCTTTGTATTGTTGGAGTTTTCTTTTAATATAAGAGTTTTCTTTTCTCCATTGTCTCTGTCCTTAACTATTATATTTCCAACAACGTTGCACCTGTTTAAGGAAAGCAGTTTGTATTTGGTTCCCAGCTGCTTACATCAACTTAGTCTAAGTTTGTTGTTATCCACTCCCCATTAAGCTCCAATTAGCGAGGGTGGAGTGAGGGCAATCTTTGTACGCAGCTTTACTCTTGCATATTTGTAAAAAGACTTTTTCGGATTCAAAACCATGACCTTTCCTAAGTTTGTTGTAAACAACTCCCTATTAAACCCTCACTAGCGAGGATAGGGTGAGGGCAATCCTTATACGTAACCTTACCCTTGCATAATTGTAAAGAGCCTTACCCTTGAAGCCTTATCCTACGTTTGTTGTAGTCATTTAAAAAAATTATAAGAACATTTGTTTTTAAAATCAATGGATAAAAGATTATTTTATCATCTTATCTCCCCATAAAATTCTTTAGTGCTAGAGTACTGGATTGTCCTCATGCTGTCTGTCATTAAATTGCATTTGTGGTGATTCTTTCTCAATTGGTATATCTTTGGATAGCAGTTTAGAATGGATTTGGCCAACCCCTGGAGTGGGGCATATTATGGGGCCCCTATTTATGATTGTTATGGATACGCGTTGCCGCCACCTCATGACCCAAGCATATATGCTGCTGCTTATGGGGCTTACCCCGTTTATGGAGGCCACCAACAGCAAGTAAGCTGAATGAAGTGCACTGCAGGAGTAGCTCTCACAACAAGTTATAACAGCATCACGCTTGAATGATCAGATTAACTTCTCTACCTTTTAACTTGCTTGATCTGTTGAATTCTTAAGAATCCCTCCTAATTGTGGAGCGGAGTTGAATTTTGACAACTTGAGGTAGCAATGTAGGGATTCAATTATTTATTTATTTAGACCTGAGGAGTAAATGACTAATGAGGAACTTGTTTAGCGGAATAATTGTCTCAAGTATGACAGTGTGAGTGCTTGCTTGCATTTTATTTGTTTCCGGCAGTTCACATTAGAGTTTTGCCTTGGTTTGCTTTTAAGGGCCATTTAATTTCTTCTTTGCCAATATTTTAATTGCATGTGCCTATGCTATTCAGAGCAATTATACAATTCAAGTTCATCTTATTTAGGTTTGAGATCTTGTTCATTTTGATGATTTCTATGAATCATGAATTTCTGATGTTGTTTTCCTTTAGTTTCTGTATGTGCATTAACATGGCTAAATAATTGAATGCAGAGAAAGCTGTGGTCCCTTAAAGTAATTAGATGCACTGTTTTTTAGTTTGGATTGGATTGGATTATTTTCCTTTCTATGGAGTAATTTGGTCCACATAATTTATTAGTTTGCCTAATCTATGTCCAAATAAAATTAACACCCCACGTCCACACTAAATGATAGAAATGTCATGCAATTGCGAAGGAATAAGCTGCTGCTGCTGCTTCTTTTATCTTTTTTCTTTTTAAAGTAGGGGTGAAAATTTTATAGATGAATTTTCCTATGAAACTCATCTATCAAATTTTCACATCAAATTTAATGAAATTCCAAAGAGACTTAGGAGGTTAATTTAGGAGGAAGTTCTCCACGAAGGAAAAATGAAATCATGGTTAGTGCTCGCTGTGGTTGGTAGCTTGGAACCGTGTGCCCTGCTCCTCTTACAGTGACGAGTGTGAGCCCTTTGTACCCAACCACGTATCCTCCAACCTGCATATTGTATTTGTATGCAGTAAGATTACATAGATGTGGCTTTTAAGTTCTGAATTTATAGTAATGCCTCATTACCTCATTGCCAGAGTACCATGGACGCCATTCTGTCTCCACTGGAAGTTTCATTGCATTTACTGAATACCTAGATGATGTTATGGGAACACGTCCATCTGTATCGCCACTGCATTATCGCATAATAACAACAATGTTTCTCATAAAGCCGTGACAGTGTCTTGAATGTAATAGAGCAATTTGTAAATTCTATATCACCTATATATCCAGGTGCTTATGCCACTTGATATTAACCGATTTATGGTGGGTAGAATAGTTGCAGGGCTATCTGTCCAACCCACTCCGCTGAGCAGAATCAATAGACGTAATAATTCAGGAAATTGAATAGTTACAATTAATGCATTCTGAAATTATAGGGAGGAAAACATAATTAATGAATTCTGTGTACCTGCAAGCAACCCATTTCGAGGCTTTAGCATGAAGAGCCTCTTGAACCTCAGCCAGATTTAAGTAGGAATTGGTATAATCGTCAGAACAAGGGTCGAAGTTGTTTCCCTACAATGTTTAATATAGAAGTGTTTCTGGCTTAGTTTTGTGTAACATATCACTCAAGTAATCTTTGAGTTCTTAAATTTCATTTAAGCATTACGTAATTAATTTCTCATTTCTGTGAACTTTATGAAGTTTACATCTCAGCTGGTTTGTCCAAACTTGTATGATCATTATTGGCGCTGTCAATTTGTTTGTTACATATTTAAGGGTGCCATAGATTGGATGAATTAATGTAGTTATTTTAATATACACAGCAGAAAAACTTAGAGCTTATTTTACTGGAGCAAGTAAAAGTGAGAAGGTGGTGGAAGTTAAGATTGTAACTGAACATAAAAAAGGAAAACGTAAAAAATGATAATGCATTTAAACTTTACTATAAGTAAATAGATTACTATCCTGAGTTTTGTTTTTTCTTCCCTCTTTATATACTTAACCAATTAGACTCCCCTACTCCTAATTCAAATTTCACGCAAAAAAGAAGAAAAGAAATGCAAAATAGCATGTCATGCAACTTACAGAGAAAGTGGCTGGACTAGCACCAGTTTTTGTTGCAGCTAAATCACAAGGTGAAGCATATAGGTTGTATATATTAAGGTTTCCAACCTCATCATCCGCTGTACTCTGATATTTGTAACATTCACTTGTAAAGTCAACGCTCTCAAAGTCACAATGTCTTTCAATTCCTTCATGGGTTTCGTCAGAGTTAAGCGCATGTGTCCAGAAATAGTCATACATTCCCTTTGAGCACATACTATCATCTATCCAACCGTTCCCAATCTGCACTAAGAATAAAAATTTGAGGCCAAATAAACTCCAGAATTAAATGTAATAAATTGAATATTGTACTCTGGAAAGTTTTGACTCACCGCAATTCCTTTCAGGTTGATCACAGTGTGATTTGTACTTAGCTTATTATTTGAGAGAATAGTGTCAGCTAGTTGAGGAACATAATGACCAGCATAGCTTTCTCCAGTTATGAAAAAGTCACGAGTTTTATACTGTGGAAATCTCTCAAGCCAGTTCAGAAGAAAAGTGTAAGAATCCAAGGCTGTGCTATTGTCACCAATTTTAGAGTAGTCTGAAGAATTGTTTGAATATGAAAAGCCAACTCCTGCTGGAGACTCTAGGAAAATGACATTTGCCACTGCCAATTATATATAGAAGCAACTCATCAGTTATGAATCATGAACATTTCTCATCTAGCTAGTGCATGCTTACCTTTGTTCCATGCATATTCATTTCTGTAAAGTGTTCTTCCATCACTGTTGACTCTAAAAGGTCCCAGTTCTTCCATGGCTCCATACCCCAGGGAAGAGCATCCAGGCCCTGTATATAATCATATACATTTAGTGACCTTCCTTTTTATACTAAGCACTGTGTGCATACATCAAAACGGAAAGCATTAATTGTGGCAATCATTATGATTTTCTCAAACTGTAACCAAATGCAAGCCATTAGGAATGGTAAGAGGTTTTGGTAGTCTGCATGAGGTCATAAGTTTTGTTTTGAGTGAACACTTAAACCCGGAACAAGTTCAAACCTTAGTGCTATCGTTGTATAAAAAAAAAAACTGTAACCAAATGCAATATTATGTATGCCCTTAAAATGCTATATTTCCCTATCATTCCTCGAGGGGAAAAATATGTAGTTGTTTTCAAATTTCGTGATTCTTAGTACTGGGGAGAAGTATAATTTTAAAAAAAAGTTCAAGAGTAAACTAAAAGGGAGACTGTTGGTTACCAAAACACAAAAATGAGAAAGGGAAGTTGCAAAATTTTGAAAGATGTCCAAGAAAAGTAACTCAAGTGGCACAAATTTTTTATTGGACCTATTCATGTAAGAAGAGGTGATGTTTTGACATTCATTATGGCTGAAGGGAAGAATTAAGAATGAAATCAATGACTTTAATGTTGAATAGAGAAAGAAGGGTTCTTAAGTCACTTACAACAATATTTATTATTAACGTATAGTTTTTAATATATTACTAGTTTTTATTTTAACTTAATAACTAGTAAACTAGTATGTATCATGTAATCCAATACCCATTGATGCTGCAATGGTGAGAATCACAGAGCCAAAGGCACCAAAAATAAGTGTCTTCCAACGTGTGCACGATGGAAACGCCAAAGAATTTATGGGTCAAGAATTATTATCCCGTTTGGTGGGAGACATGACTAATAGCTTCCGTGTTGGAATTCCACTAGGTATGATGCCAATATTTGAGTGCAGCAATTGATTAGGAATTAATCATCTTATCAAATATAGCAATCAATCGTAGATAAGAAATTAGGAGAATAACTCATGGCTATCTTACCGTGTTTGGCCATGGAATATATGGTAGGGTCATAGTGTCATATTCAACATTCAATAATACACTTTATGATTCCCGATATCTTTTTCAGATTCTTGTGTTTTTATTTTTATTATCATTACATTTTGCACTAAGATTTATTTGACAGTTATTCAGTATCATGATATAAATTATCAAATAGATATATATATATCAAAATTTTAATAACAATATTATCCAACTTTAAGTTTTAACCCGTTAATAAATATATTAATTTAAAAAACTACAAATTATTAAAATTGTTTAACATTGGCCAAAATATGATTACTCTATGAGTGATTGATATGATTAGTGATTATATTTTATCAAACATATGTTTAGTGATTATAATAATAGATGAATGGCTATAATATTCATAAAAAAAAAAATTAATTTGTTTATAATAATGATATCTTTTGATGCTATTGCATGTCCTAATTTTTTTTTAATAAAAATCTCAACTGATTTAGGAGTTAATCGGATCCCTCTTAAACTTAAAACTTATAACAAAAGTTAAGTTCGACCCAAACGGGATCATGGTAAAATCACAAAATAACTGAGTTGCTATTGCTAAGACAATAGAAGGGTTATTATATGTAGCTCAAACAATAATTAAATTTGAATTCATGTTAGTTCATACATGAAACATGTAATAAACTATACATGAGGTCAAGATCTACCAGCAAACCATGCAAGCAAAATATATATTTACCTCCATTTAGCCATAGAACAAGAGGCTTGGTAGAAGAATTATGAGGTGACTCCACAAAATAGTAGAACAGTGCTCTCCCTTTCTTGGCATCCACCGTTACATAGCCTGCATATTGATCGAAATCCACACCTTGGGGTTGTCCCGGTAAAGCTTTCACTTTGTCAGCTTCCATAAGCCCATATTGGTTCTCAACTACATGTACCACGAGTTCAGCTCCATCAGAAGCTTCTCCATGTGAGGGTTTTTGAGACCTCCGTGACTGAAGAAACTTATAGAGGTATTCACTCTGTTTGTTTGCGTTGCATGATATGGCGAAGTGGCACATAAACAAAAACAGAGAGCACAATAGTAATTTGATAGACAACATTAGGCTTATCTTCTTTATGTTAACAGTGTGTGTCGTGCCACACCCCTTCCAAGCTCTTAAATGTATATTTATATATAACCAGTTAAATTTTAACGTAAGTATAAAAAACAACTTGTTATGTTTTATATTTTAAGTGAGTGGGATACATGTAGTAAATATTAACTGGAATTAATTTTAAATTAATTATATTTATGAATAAGAAATTTGACTTGAAAAGGTGTCTTTTCGTCGATGAATAAATGTGTCTTTTCATCCTAATAGATATATTGTTTCATTCTTGAATGTGTGTCTTTTTGTGTCGAACGGAAGTGTCTTTTCATGTCAAACATATGTGTTTTTTCGTGTCCAACGTATGTGTTGTTTCGTCGTCGAATAGATGTCTTTTGAATCATGACCTTACGTTTTCTATAAGAGAAAAATGTTTATCATTCTAAATGACATAAAATTATGTCATTTTAAGAGAGGGATAGACACAAGAAAATATTTTTTTATTTAAAATTTAAATTAAAAAAAAGCCACTCATTCTCTCTCCCATGATTTCCATTCCTTGTATTTATCTCTCTCTTAAAATAACATAACTTATGTCATTTAAAATGACAAACATCAAACCCTTTCTATAAATATATAGAGAATCAGAATTTTAAAGTAGTTTTTCATTTTGCATATATCTTGTATTCCACTCTAGTGTGATTAGTCAGACATAGATTGAGTTCGATGAGGCTATTATATTTGGAAGTACCTCCACGAGAATAGAGATAATTCATTCTATAATGAGAGATATTTGTCCACGAATCTTGGGCATCATAGAGAGGATAAAATTATCTTAAGAACAGTGTTTAACACTAGGCTCAAATTTTTTCTTGTTACATACATATTTTCGTATCGTACGCTCTGACTTAATGTTATTGTATGTTTTAATTGTGTGTGTGCATTTCATGGAACCATGAATAATGTTCAAATGATTTCTCTAACAGAGATTACCCCTTTCATTGATTTTATCATCATTTTGGATAACAATATTGCTCATAAAAAAAGTTGAAAAAAAAACCTCTTATATCTTAAAGGAATTGCTTAGAATCTCACATATGCATTAATTAATATTGGATATCGTTTGTCTTTTGCATATGCAGTATATATAATAAAGGTAGTGATGGAAAGGTAATATTCTCCCCCGATGTTTCCCACATCAACTAAAGCGATGTTACATATATAATTCAGGTATACTTTATGGGTTTTATTAATCTCCTTCCACATAAGATAGGTAGAGAGAAAATGGGTGGGTCCCACCATTACAAGAAAAAAGAAAAAGAAGAAAAAAGTGTGGTGCGAAAATCGAAGTGAGAGAAAATGAGATAAGTTACCTCATGTAAAAGGAGAGTAATATTTCTCATACTTTATCTAAATTTAATTAGCCGTGCTCGTTTTCGTTTTTCTTGTTAGAGTATTATATTCAGTACTCAAAACTTGTTTTGTACAAAAAAATCACATATACATCTTGATTTGATAATCAATCAACTGTATTTAATATCGGGCAAATCATAGTTGTGACTTTGTGAAAGTAAATTTTAATTTTAAATTCTTTATAAGGTGAAAGTATTACTACTATTAAATTTAGACATAGAAGCATGCATATTTTGGTTGTTTCAATAGTTAATGTACGACTTATATAAGTAAGTAGTATAAATATCCAATATATATTGAATTTTGTCGATCGATAGCTCTTTAATTTTTTTTTCAAATAATATAAGTGATGATTTTAATTTTTTTTGTATAATTATTTTATAAAAAATGAAATATATGTATAATATATGCCAAAGTGTATATTAAATACATTTACATGATTAATTTCTTCTAAATTCATATTATAATTTATGTATTGAATTTATAGAATTTTAATGTCGTAAAAATTTTGAAATTGAAATTCTGTAAATCTTTTAAAAGATATTGTGTGATTTTCAGTGCTTAATTGTTTCACATTGAAGGAAGAAGATTTTTTCAGCAACTTTAGTTTCTATAAATAAGTCCAAACAGTGACATGAAAACGATCTCATAAATGTTTTTTTTTCTTTAGACTCAATGTTGCGTCGCTCAAATGTCAGGATGAGGGTGCCGTGAACGCTAATTTGGAATTGGAATCTTAAGACAAACCAAATAAAATTAAAAAAGTAAAGAAAAGAAAAGGAATTTTCATTACGCATATATATTGTCGTAATTGAGTTGTTAAAGTAACCATTCTCTTGATTTTTTTGTCTTCTTTTTATTATAAAGTTTATATGTGATAGAGAAAGCTGGTTAAGTAATCCATCAATGTACATGGACGCTCCCAGTTCCATCAAAGAGCATTTGAGTGCTTTGTTTCTTTTCTTAGCTATTGTTTTGTAGCCAATGTTAGTGGAAGATTAGAAACACTTTTATAATCAAACCATATCTTAAAATGAAAAAAGTATCATTATGCTTAGATGACGTAGACACCCATCCATGGGATATGGATAGGGATGAAAATAGGTCATGCACCTAACGAGGAACCTATAATGGTCATAGTTAACTTAATATATTTATTAAAATTAAAATAGGCTCAAACTTTACAAGCCCGTTTAGGAAACAAATCGTAAACATTTTTATAAGATTTGATCTATATGTTATTATTTATTTTAATTAAAATAAAATAAAAAAATATATTTAAATAATTTTATTTGATAAATTAATATCATTTTATTTTAATTTTTAATAATTATAGAATGGTGATAAGCTTAAATAGGTTAACAGACTTAAATCCGAGGTTAATTCAATCTTAAAATATTTTATATAGATATGTAGACCAAAGTATAGTTTAATTCAGCCATTTTACACTTATATATATGTAAAGAATATAATTTCTAATGTTATATGAGAAGAAATTATATTATACACACATAAAAAAATATATGAGATCCATATTTTTTTTTTTCTCTTTTCCTTGGTGGATTTTATCCACTTTTTTATATCTGCATGGGAAACAATATTCTAATATATGTATGATTCACTATTGCAAAATATTGTCCAAACACGACTTGCCGTTTAAGAATGAGCTGGCTGGGCTCTCAGCTCTTATCGCTATTTTGGGCCAAATAACATGTTGTAGACTTGGGCCTATTAGTATTATCCAAACACAATTTCCCATACATGGATCAGTTGCAGATTTATGATGCCAAAGCTCATGCTTTTTTTTAAGTAAAATCTAGCCTGATGGGCTCCTCCTATTGGCATTTGGCCAATAATGGACCTCTAAAACCCTTAATGGCTCAAGTTTGAGAACTGTGAAGTTAACGATATTTTTGTAATTACAAACAAAAATTATTAACTACAAATAAAAATGAATTAAAGGCCATCTAGGTTTGAAGGTGTCAACTTTTCCTTTTAAAAAATTGTCAAGTAAATAAGAAATTATTTTTAACTACAAGAGACGAGACATAATCATTCAAGATATAACCAATGTTATTAAACTCGAACTGGTGATCGATCCGGTTGGGGTACCGGGTCAGTGGGTCACTGGTTCAACCGCATGAGTCGGATATGTATATAAATTTATACTTTATACTTAATTATATAATAAATATTTTAAATGGTGCAGGTGAACCAAGAACCAAATGTAGCTTAGTGGTAAATACTACAATTTATATTTTCACAACAAGGGTTCGATTCCCACTAGATGCAATTTTTAAATAATTCTATTAAATGATATGATATATATATATATATATATATATTAAATAGTGCGTAAATGATATGATATGATATGATATGATATATATATATATATATATATATATATATATATATATTAAATAGTGCATATTAGGGGTGTTCGCGGTCTGGATTGGATTGATTTTGGAAGCAAAAATCATTCGATCCAATCCCTTTGGTTTGATCATATAACATCCATTCGGTTTTGATTTTTTTTCAAATCCGATCCGATCCAATCCAATTTTTTTCGGTTTGGATTGGATCGGTTTTCGGTTTTTTGAAAATCCTAAAATTTATTTCATGATTATTGTGCAAATAACATCTTTTGTATATATTGGCTTTGTAATTTTTTTTTTTGAAATACAAAAGCATTAGTAAACTATAATATAATTTTTTTAATTTTGACAATGAGATATGAAGCTCTACAAAGATAAAATTTTGTTAATGAGATATGACTAGATTTTTTCTTGGGTTTAGTTGATAGGTTAATGAGTCTTGGGTTTAGAAATTTTTAGGCTATGATCAGGGAAATACCCAAGTAGGTAGAAGGAAACTAATATATTGGATCGATTTGGATTGGATCGGTTTTCATCAACCCATCCAAAAACTGATCCAATCCAATTAAAATATGCAGTTTTTAATCGGTTTTGGATCTTTCGGTCTTCGGTTTATTCGGTTATCGGTTTTTCGATTCGGTCACCGTCGTTTGAATCGGTTTGGATCGGTTGATGAACACCCCTAGTGCATATTAACCAACAAACAAACTCAGCCTAGTGGTAAGTTGTTGTTTGGCTTACTCAGGAGGCTCAAGTTTGAATCCCAGCGACTTCAACTTTGGAATCATTTTTTTCAAAACCGGTCCATCGGTTCGACGGTTAATACCAGTTGAACCGCAGTTCACGACTGGTTCACCGGGTCAATACCGATTCAATAACATATCCGGTCCGTTGCAAGAATCGAGCCGATTTCGGAGCCAACCGGTATAATTAACCAATATTGTATTGGATATAAGTATAATTCTTACCGGTTTTCGGGCCAGTTTTCTTAACACTGGATATAAGTATAATTCTTTTTTTACTTAATATACAATATTGTATTGGATAATATTTGAATATAATTAACCAAATGGGGGATGCTAAAGAATTTAAATCCTCAAACTAAAGTTGTTCCAAGGTCACTATAGTGTAGTAATGGAATGATTCCCAAACTCCCAATAATACATATTTTTATTTGGAAAAACAAATGAATGTTTCGCAACATGAATAAACAAGTGAATGAAAAACTCAAATAAATCCATATTGT